GTATTAAAGTGTGCATATGATAGAAAAGTCATCTCTTAGATGATTTGGTTTAGCTATCTTATTAAAATATTATGGTTGTCTAGATAATTGTATGTTTTTAAAATACAATAAAAAAGTTTTGGACAATGTAGATAAAATAAACTTCCTTCTAAAAGATGACGGAAGCTAATCCGATCCTACATATACAAAAGTACATGAGATATTTTTTAATAGCTAATAAAATTAAACAGATTCTCTATATATCAATTAAGACAAGTATTTTGATAAGATAACATGCCGGAGATTCTGCAATTCAAGTATGTATATGTCATTCAGACGACGAGTTATTACAATGAACGAGGTTTTCTTCCATATGGCTTGCATGTTTCTTTCACCCATCTTTCCAAGGCAATGTGCTATTACGAACCAAACAAAATTTCAATCTACCGTTATTCTGTTAATGCTACGTACTGCACGCTTTTGTATTAATTACTGGGACTTAGTGGTAATAAATTCTTAATTGGTATAACCTATACGACTTCATTTTCCATTTTTGTCATATATATATATATTGTTGTGTGTAATTTTTTACTCAATTCTTTTGCAGTTGATTCTCTAAGAAAAATATTGTAAGTGATCTCAGCGTATTTGTGTAAAAATGGTTTTCTAAAAATATTTCACAAGTTAAGTTTCAAATCATATTTTTAAAATATAATAGTCATTCAACATATCCAGATTGATGCTGAATTACTTTGTATATCATACCCTTTTCCGAGTATATTACCATTCGAACTCAGCTTCAGATAGAGCTAGTGTCCTTGCGATTTTATAAAAAGGAGTGTTTTAAAATTTTAAGTCCAAGTCCTGCTTCTAAAAAAAATGACTAATTATATACATGCTCTTACTTCCGATTTGGGAACTATAAATCTAAGATCCGAAACTTCTAAATTACCAAAAAATATACTCAAAGTATAATAATCAAATACAACTATATATACTACTATTCAAGTATAAAAATCGATATCCGATTTTCCGAGTACGTGACGGATGGGCACCTCTAAAATCTAAATTTTATTAGATTAAAAATTTCTTTGAGACGTCATCCACAACA